AATTAACCAACTTTTAAAAAACTGGTTACCAAGTTTTGATTGTTATAATAGTCATTTTAAGTGCATTTGCTAAAACTTATTTCATCAACGATTTCCACACAGTGCACGTAAATTCAAAACGCAGTTCTTTGTTTTTGTGACATTTTAATTTGTAACAATAAAAAACAGAATATAAAACAGGCAGGCTTTATCTCAAGATCAAACAACATTTATCTTTTGATAAGAGTCATATCACACAGTCAACATATGTCTTATATTCAATTTGGTGTTTTCTTTTGAAAATGCTGTTCCTGTACCCAAGGATTAAGGCTGCTCAGGAAATTTGTGATGTGTTTAAAGAGTTTTACACAACTCCAGCGTGGTCTGATTCCCAGGGCGTCAAGAACCAACTTCAAAGCCCTCTGGGTCTAATACCGCTGCTACCATTTCTTGTCTGTATGACTTTCACCTAACTACTGTATGATGTAAACTCATCCACAAAATATTTGTTCCAGTGCCAAGGAAGTCTGGTGACATAGCCCAAGACCACATAGTGCAGGAATGGATGTGTGGGTAAACGCAGCATAACCACGGTTAGTCTTCGGTGTGAAACGTGTGAAAATTGGAGGAAAGAAATGGAGCGCCCTCACCATTTTTTCCCAATTCTCAGGACCACCATATTTCACTAGATGGCAAATAAATCAATTTTAGCAAGACTCATACATTTCAACAGCGAAACATGTATTTGAAAACGCATGGGGGGAAATATGACCCCCATGGTGGGTCCAGTGTTAAACCAATCACAATCTTCTTGGGCTGTGCTAAAAGCAAGATGCAGTGACGTTGCCCTTGCTAAACAGATGGGGTAGGCTGTGCAGAGCTGGCGGCAGTAATATAGAGCCCCTCAGATGGTAACGGCTGGAACAGGAGGTGAGCTGGATGACTGGGATCTCAAATGATTCTCTTTTAACACTTGGTTTCGCTATAGGGATTTTATTGTTGGAAGTGGGGAGCCAATGATTTGTTGACAAACTGCTGGAGTCTGAAGTTGAACTGTTGCACCAGATTATTTTCAGCATAAAGATAAGCTTCTCAGTAGCAGTGGGTAGTAAAAATGACTGGACGAGAGTGATATTGCAACAATAGTTTGAAACTAGGTAACATTTAATAAAAGTTGCTGTTTTTTATCAATAAATCTGTTATAGGACTATCTGAGATTTGTTTGCTTTCAGTCTTAGAATATACAAGTGTGTTGAACATAAAGCAATACCCAATCACCAGCAGTTGTTCAGTTTGGTTGACTGAAGGCCATGGAAACTTTTTATTTGCATCATCTATTCACGTTTAAGTATGTTGTGCCTCTCCTGCGACATGTTTACATGCTTTAATGTTCATCCATCCATCCATCTTCTCCCGCTTATCCGTGGTCGGGTCGCGGGGGTAGCAGTTCCAGCAGAGAGGCCCAAACGTTCTTTTCCCTGGCCACATCAACCAGCTCTGACTGGGGGATCCCAAGGCGCTCCCAGGCCAACGAAGAGATATAATCCCTCCACCTGGTCCTAGGTATACCCCTTGGTCTCTTCCCAGCTGGATGTGCCTGGAACACCTCCCTAGGGAGGCGCCCAGGTGGCATCCTTACTAGGTGCCCGAACCACCTCAACTGACTCCTTTCGACGTGAAGGAGGAGCAGTTCAACTCCGAGTCCCTCCCGGATGACAGAACTTCTCACCTTATCCCTAAGGGAGACGCCAGCCACCCTGCGGAGAAAACCCATCTCGGCCGCTTGTATCCGCGATCTCATTCTTTCGGTCATGACCCATCCTTCATGACCATAGGTGAGGGTAGGAACGAAAATGGCCCGGTAAACAGAGAGCTTTGCCTTCTGGCTCAGCTCCCTTTTCTTCACAACGGTGCGGTAAAGCGACTGGCAGAGCCGCGTCCCCGCTGCTCCCCAGATCTCCGGCCCATCTCACTCTCCGCATCTTGTGTCCTCACTCCGAGAAACGGAAGATTCCGTCCGAGATAATTCAACTCCTTAGTCACTTGGGGTAAAGGACTCATTCCCCCTCCTCAGACTACGGACAGTCCACTGCTTTCCTGCTGAGCACATCAAGGCTCCAGATCACCCACAACCAACACCACGACACCCCCACTCGGAGTGCTGATCCTCATCCAGCCGCTTCAACACTCGGTTGCGAACCGATCCAGTGAGTGCTTGAGGTATTAGATACCCACATCATCTGCAAAAGCAGTGGCTCTGCAATCCTTATCGCACGAACGCAGACCCTCCCCCACGCTACGCCGAATCCGATCCCATGTAATATTACAAAGCAGGATTGGTGACCAAAGCGCAAGCCCTGGCCGGAAGGGCCAAACCCCTCACGCGGAAATGGGTTCCGACCCTTAGCTGCCTGAGGGACGCGCGGAACACAGCTTGCTCGCTTTGGAGTCACAGAGATTGGAAATGGCCCTGAGTAGAGACCCCCTCACCACCCATACTCCCGCAGCACCCACTCGCCACAAGTAACTCCTGGGAACCGGTCATACGCCTTCCTCCCAAAGCTCTACAAAACCACATGTAGCACTGGATAAGCGTACTCCCCAGGGCCCCCTTCCAGGATTCCTTGCGAGAGTAAAAAAGCTGAATCCATGCGTTTCACGACCAGGAGCGGAATCCCGCATTGTGTCCTCCCTCAATCCTAAAGTCGACAAAATCGGCCTGAACGCCTCCCTTTCGAGTTACCTTTAGAGTAGAAACTTTACCCGGGACGGCTGAGTAGTGTTGATGCCCTCTGTAATCGGCACCACCACACGCTCTGATGCCCCCTTTTTTTGAAAAGGGGCAACCAACCAAACCCGCGTCTGCCACTCCTTCTGTACTGTTTCCGACTTCCACGCAACGTTGAATGAGACGTGTCAACCATGAACCAGTCCTCCACAATCCAGAGCGCCTTCAAGCATTTCTGGGGCCGGATCTCAATCGCACCCCCGGGGCTTTGCCACTGTGGAGTTGTTTTGACGACCTCAGTGACGCTCCCCCCGGAGATTGGGTGTTGATCCCCCGTCCATACTTCCAGCTCTGCCTCTAACATAGAGGCGCGGAGTTATCGGGTTCAGCAAGGACAGTTCCTCAAAAGTGTTCCTTCCCCCAACGTCCTAAAACACTCCGCATCAGTCTGAGGTCAACAACGTCCATTCCTTACTGTACACAGCTTGGATGGTTTCCTGCTTCCCCCCCTCCTGAGGTGTGGACAGTTTTCCAAGACATACTTTTGTTGCGCACCACTGCCGCCCCGAAGTCCTTACCAATGCCTTCTCCGAACTTCTCCCCCAGCCCCGTGCTTTGCCTCCGCCACCGGGTTTTTTTTTTTGTTTTTCTTTGCTGAGGCTGCTGCCCTTCGGGCCTGTCGGTAGCTTGGCAACTGGCCTCCCAGAGACTCCCCCGGGATAACAAATCGCCTTTGAAAGGCCTCCTTCTTCAGTCGAGACGCTCTTTCCCTGACCACGCGGTGTCCACGCAAGGAGGTTTTGAGTTACCCGCGCCGCTTGAAGGCACCTAAAGACCTTGAGAACCACAGCTCCCCCGCCGTGGGCTTTCGGCAATAGAGGCTTTGAAGCAACACGCCTACTCTGGTTTCAATGTCCCCAAACCTCAAACACAGGAAATGTCCGAAAAGCCTCAGCCGGAGGTGTAGTTGTTGTTTAATGTTCATATAGAACTTTATTTTTCTCACACTGCCTGTGCTGGCAAGCACCTCTTTTCACCCATCCTGAAACCAGAGACCAGTCGCACTGATTGTTAGCTGGACAGCTCTGGTTGTGATTCTGGTCATCCCTGCTTTAGAGATGTCGCCTTAGCTCTATCAAGCTTAACAATGTGTTGGAGGGCTGAGTTGCAATTAAGCACAAGCGTCAACATTAGTGATGTCACTATGTCATGGAACTTAAACAAAGGAGTCCAATTGGAGGTGTTCAGGCAGGGGGGGCTGGGTGTCGGGAGAGAGAAACTCCTTCTGGAGGCGACAGCAGGGATGTTAGGGCCTTTGCAGACCATTTAATGGCCAAAAAATGAGAGCGCCT